TTTCATAAAAATGAAATACTAATTAACTCAGTGTGTGATTAATGACCTCAAAATAATACTGCCTTTTTAAAAGTTTGGTAGAATGTACATATACAAATAGCAGCTGTTTTTTAAAAGAGAAATTTGGGGCCGGGCACGGTGGCACATGCCTGTGGTCCTAGCTGCTGGAGAGGTTGAGGCAGGAGGATCACCTGAGCCCAGGAATTGGAGGCTGCAGTGAGTTATGGTTGTACCACTCTACTCCAGCCTGGGCAACAGAGCAAGACCCTGTCTCTAAAAAATAAATAAATAAATAAAAGAGAAATTTGGGAAATTCTACACTTATTCGATGCTGATACCATAATCAGAAGCTTTTTAGAAATCATCATTTATGAATTGTGTTCAGAGACCATAAAGTGGAAATAACAGTATCTGTCTCAAGAGGTTGTGAGGGTTAGATAAGTTACATGTGTAAAATACTAGAAAAGTGCCTGGGGCAGAGTAAGCACTATATAAGTGTTAGCTTCTGCTATTGTCCTGTGGTCATTGTCATCGTCGTCATCAAAAATTAATCCCACTGGTTTACAGGCACACCTCCACTTTTGACCAACAATAGATCACCCAGCTTAGCTGCCACTCACTCCTCAGTGAGGACCTTACTACTTCCTTACCATCTTTGCAAGTTCTTGAAGGCGTGCTAAGTCACTGGCCTTTGCAGCTTTGAGAGTATTTAGTTCATTCTGTTTCATTTCTGTGTCCTTATCATATTTCTCCATCCAGAACTCTAGCTTCTCCTCAAGTTTCTATTAGGAAAGAACATTAAAACATGGCATCCACCAGACATAAAATAGTATATACTGTATGATTCCATTCATATAGAGTTCAAGAACAAGCAAAACTTTTCTACAGTGATAGAACAGTGGTTACTTATCTGGGTGGAGGGTTGGGTTACTGATTGGGAACGGGGCATTAGCGAGACCTCTGGGATGCTGTAAATTTTCTATCTGGGTGATAGTTATATGGGTGTACATACAAAAATACTCATCTAACTATACACTCAATATTTATGCACTTTACTGTGTGTTACTCAATTTAAAATTGGGAGAGGATGATCTTCCAGATGTCTGGATAAGGGAAGTCACAGTGAAGACGAAAGAAGTAAAAAGTAGGAAGAAAAGTCTGAAGGATAAGGAATAGATAGCATCAGATATCTCTTTGATTGACAGCACTAAGTATTAGTCAAAAGGGTGCTATGTCTTAAAATTCTAAAAGAAAATGTGATTCTAAGATTCTATACCTAGCCAACCTAGCATTCAAACATTAGGGAAAGAAAGACTATATCCAATCTTTCTGAAAGAGTTACTCAAGGATGTACTGTAGCAAAATAAAATGAAATGGGAGAGAAACCAGTAAAATGTATATTTAAGCTATATAATACATGATACCTTTTTTCCTTATTTTTTCATGTGTATTTCAGAGGGTACAAATATATGAAACTTTTTAGTAATAAATCATAATCTGGAATTAAAATCCCAAAGTAGGCAGTACAGTCTAGTAGAAAGAGCACAGGCCCTAAAGGTAGATGCGTAGGTTCAAATCCCAACTCTGGTACTCAAAGTTTACTTAAATTCTCTAAGCCTCCAGTTCCCTCATCTATAAAACAGTAATAGTACAAACTTCAAAGGGTTGTTGAGAGGCTCAAATAAGATAATCCCTGTAAGGCACGTAGCACAATGCATATATATGAGAGACATATATAATATATCATATATATATATATAAACAAATGATTTCATCATGGAATGTAGGAGAGGAAGAGAAGAGGTAAGAGGTAAGTGAAAGTTTTGCCTTAATAAAGGCAAGAAGGTATAGCTATTGATTAACTCTAGATTTAAGACAAATAAAAAGTGTAAATACATGTTATAATCTTTAGGGTTGTGCTCGCTTTGGCAGCACATACACCAAAATTGGAATGATATCTGTATGAGGGATGATTAGCACGTCCCCTGCACAAGGATGATAGGAAAATTCATGAAGTATTCCATATTTTCTGTACTTTACAAAATTTTTAAGATTACCATTAAAGAACAGAAATGTATAACTTCCAAACTCCTAGGCTATGTACCTCAAGAATGAGACATTAAGAGGTGCCTTTAGGTGGTACATAGCATAGAATTTTTTAAAAAGTATGATTCATAGTCAATCATTCTGATTAAGTTAGAAAGAACATGTCAGTTTGGTGCTATCAAATCTCTTACACCTCTCTTACTCTTGTTAACACTTTTTTTCAACAGAGGTAACAGGCTCCAGATAGGCAAGAGAGTCTGGCTACAATGTAATAACATCATTTGGTATTTATTATACTTCTATTCACACTGATTCCTATTTATGGCAAGTTTTCCTTTTATAGTAATGATTTATTTAGTTGTTTAGGTGAGTAATTAGGTAGAAAATATTAAGTAATAACACAAATGGTATGTAGATATTACAAAACTATGAAAGTGGTATGCAAACAACTGAATTTTGTACTAGAAAGCAAAAAATTAAACAATAAAAATTCCATCAATCCAAGAAAAGAAGTGAAGAAACAACTAGAAAGCTTGAAAAGCAGGAAACATGAAATGAGATGGAAAAATTAAGTACAAACAAGTGAAAAAAATCACAATAAAAGTTAACTGGAATAAATCCCCATCTTAGTCCATTTAGGCTGCTATAACAGAATACCACAGACCAGTGGCTTATAAACGACAGAAATTTATGTGTCATGGCTCTGGAGGCTGGGAAGTCCAAAATCAAGGTGCTGACAGATTCTATGTCTGGTAAGGGTCTGCTTCCTAGACTCCATCTTTTTGCTTTAACCTCACATGGTGGAAGGGGCAAGGAATCTGGTGTCTCTTTTATAAGGGCACTAATCCTATTTATGAGGGTTTCCCCCTCATGACTAAATCACTTCTCAAAGGCCCCACTTAGTACTATTGCCTTGGGGATTAGGATTTTAATATATGGATTTTTGAAAGGACATAAAAATTCACCCCATTCCACCCCCTATCAAAAGAAAAACCTCTTTTTTTTCTTTCTTAAAAAAAATCCAGCTAAGGCCAGGCGCGGTGGCTGACGCCTGTAATCCTAGCACTCTCGGAGGCCGAGGCGGGCGGATTGTTTGAGCTCAAGAGTTCGAGACCAGCCTGAGCAAGAGCGAGACCCCGTCTCTACTAAAAATAGAAAGAAATTAAT